ATATCATGATAAAAGATCATATCATATCATATCATTAATTGTAGATGAACTACAGAAACTATCAGAAATCAAACATCATATGCAGTTCTCAGGCTCCAACCTTGCGACCCGTCGGCCGTGCCTGCTGAGACGGAGGACCGGGCATTGAAACGTGTTGCGTATCTGTACCACTCTCCAGAGGTGTCCAAATGGGTCCCCAAAAACAATCATGAAACATAGTCAATCATAGAGATCTAGATAAAAATATATACATGTAATATATATATATGTATATACTAAATACACATATACAGATTGAAGATAAAATGATGTAATCTTCAGATTACATGGATCTCGAGTTTGCTCCATGTTTGAAGATACCTATGTCCCAACGCATGAGGCCCAACACGGCCCCTTCGTAAAACCGCACGGCCTGCTGAGCACGCGCTGCTCGTGAGACGGAGGCACTTTGGGGTCGCAAGCCTTCAACGAGATGAAGAATCCCATCAAAGTTGGTGAATCAATGAGAAATAGTGAATCTACTGGGATTTTTTCTCCCGTCAAAATCTACCACCCTAGAAACCCCTATGGCCCTATGGTTCAGTCTTGGATCCTATTCATTTTGGTCATTGAAAGGGGAATTGGTGAAGAGTTGGACTTGGATCAGGTGCTGCGGTTCCGGAACCGCTCCAGCGCCTGAGTCCGGAGATGTGGCCTGAGATTCCGCCATGGCTAATGACTGTGTTCTGATCCGTGAAGAGATGGTGTTCAACATCACTTTTCTTATCCCTTCCTCGAAGCTGGCTTAGAAAGCACTAATGCCTGACTTTTCAACTGCTTGAAACTACTGTTTAGCGGATTCCATTTCACTGAATCAGCAAAGAAAGGGCTCAATCAAGGTGGAGTTACACCCAAATTATGGCCGTTAATGAATGGGGAAGGGCATAATTCACCAATTTAGGAAGTCTAATGGGAAAAATACTTCCAGCATCCGCCCAACTTGCGCCTTCGTCTCATCACCGCCTCCAAAAATGGGACCCAAACTGGCTGATGTAAGTGATGTAAGTAATTTATGGATTATATTGCTTGGTCTATCCCTATTTCATTCTTCACTATCTGAGTATAGCATCTAAATTCTACAGTTTCCCATGTTTGGCACATGTGGACACATGTCTAAGCTTGTCTAACCATTCACGGGCTCATCATGTCACATTTTTCAGCGACATGTCTTCCTTGGCGGCAGCTCCCCAAAGCCCGCAACCTGGTAGGCTCTCCTTGCAAGGTGCCTCAGGATGAACTTTACATGGGTTTACCTGCTTTCCAAACAGAACTTCAGTAACTTAGTTCATTAAAGTGTTGTGACACTCTGAGTTTGAGGCAGATTGATGGGGAAGGTTGACACCAGCAGCCTGTCAGCAGCGCACTTTTCCAGTTACGCTTTTCAAGTTATCAAGTTTCTTGACTGCTTCACAATTCCAATGGCAACATGACTAAGCCAACTAAGCCTTTGTCAATGTCTCAACCATCAGTCCCCTCAGGTCCCCCACCCCTCTGGCAACTGCTACTACCTTTGGAGCTGCACCTCAAATCAGCTGACTAAGCATGTCCCAACACCAGTTATATGTTGTAACATGTTGTAACGGCTATATGAGAATGATGTAAGATTTTGCAAGATTTTGCTAATGATAATCACTATGATTTGCAACTAATAACTAATGAGCCATCGTTTATAATTGATGACCAATCAGTCGCTCAAACAGCTGAGCACCCAGCCACCCTGGCTGCGGATCCTTGGTTCGAAATTTGGGCATGGAAAAATAAGTCTCTGCGCATCGAAAAATGTTGGGGGTCAAGCCATACCTGTCCTCCAACTTGTTTTTGACTACCATTAGGTTATTTAACATAGCCGTGGAGGTCTTAAATGGGAGAATAATCTATAAATGGGCCATTTTCCATGGCTATGTTAAATAACCAGAGGGTAATTGTTTGCAATTAGTGTATTGGATGGTGAGCCTTCGAATTGAAGCCATCGGTTCCTTTGTTCTCTCCTCGTGCCATCTTTCTCTCCAATCAGCCATGGCAAAAGAAAGTCACCAGGGCTACCCTGGCGACCAGGAATTGGGTGACCAAAGTTCCATCCATTCCCCGATCTAGTTGTCATGTGACCAATAATATCCATAATTTGACCCATATCCACCTCTGTTCCCAGCCTCAAAAAAAGATGTTGCCAGCTTTCTTGAAACAATGTGTATTTACAAAAAAGTGAAATAAGCTTCGGCGGTATCAACAGCCGCAACGTTTTATTTTTACAAATCTTTTTGAAGCGTGCTGCGAAGCCAAGCGCTGGAAAAACCTCAGCTGGGTTTCCGTGAGTTAAATGAACCTGACCTGGTTTGGCTTCTGCAACCTTCTCCGGGCCGTTAAACCTGACTTGGCTTTGCACCAAGGCTTCCTGGAACCTTCTCCGGAATCTTCTCCGGAACCCTGTTGAACATGACCTGGCTCTGCGCCAAAGCCTCTCAGACCTTCTCCAGAACCTTCTTCGGAACCCTGTTGAACTTGACCTGGCTCTGCACCAAAGCCTCCCAAGCCTTCTCCGGAACCTTCTCCGGAACCCTGTTGAACCTGACTTGGCTTTGCACCAAGGCTTCCTGGAACCTTCTCTGGAACCTTCTCTGGGACCTTCTCCGGAACCCTGTTCTCCGGAGCCTTCTCCGAACCCGTTGAACCTGACTTGGTTTTGCACCAAGGCTTCCTAGAACCTTCTCTGGAACCTTCTCCGGAACCCTGTTGAACCTGGCCTGGCTCCGCACCAAAGCCTCCCAGACCTTCTCCTCGGAACCTTCTTCGGAACCTTGTTGAACCTGACCTGGCTCTGCACCAAAGCCTCCCGGAACCTTCTCTCCGGAACCCTGTTGAACCTGACCTGGCTCTGCACCAAAGCCTCCCGGAACCTTCTCCGGAACCTTCTCCGGAACCCTGTTGAACCTGACCTGGCTCTGCACCAAAGCTTCCCAGACCTTCTCCAGAACCTTCTCCGGAACCCTGTTGAACTAACCTGGCTCTCTTCGGAACCTTCTCCGGAACCTTCTCCGGAACCCTTTTGAACCTGACTTGGCTTTGCGCCAAGGCTTCCTGGAACCTTCTCCGGAACCTTCTCCGGAACCTTGCGGAACCTGACCTGGCTCTGCACCAAAGCCTCCCAGACCTTCTCCGGAACCTTCTCCGGAACCCTGTTGAACCTGACCTCGCTCTGCGCCAAAGCCTCCCAGACCTTCTCCGGAACCTTCGGAACCTTCTCCGGAACCTCGTTGAACCTGACCCGGCGCCTGCACAAGTGCACACCGGAGCTATTCTGGGCTGAAGACCCCACTAGCTTACGCTGTTGGGGAAAATATTTCAACAAATATCAGCCAAAAGTTGGATGAATGATGAAATCATGATGAATGGATAAATGGATGTGTTTGAAAGTTGCTCCACCAGGGTCTCATGGCCCCATGGCCTCTGAGTCTCCAACGGGACGCTGGTGCTCGGCGCACGGCCTGTGTAGGTCGGCCTCTTAGGCCACGCCGTTGTGGTCGCGGCCAGCGGCTTTGGCGGCGTGCCTGGTCACCATGACTGAGGCTACTCTGAGGGATACTAAGTGGTTACTAAGTGGTTGCTAAGTGGTTACTAAGTGGCTACTTAGGGGACTAGGTGAACCATGGTAAAAGATTGGTAAACCCATGGACACTGGGGGATTTTTATGATTTTTCATTCAAACAAAGAATCACCCGCTCATGAGTTCAATGGATTAGTTGAACGGAAAATCCACACAAAAACAATGGCTTTTATTCAGAAAATATAGGGGGTCCTGCACATTGTCTGTCAAACCAATCCAATGATTTAATGATTAGTTGTTTTTGAGGGGCTATAATATCAGTATGATGATTTCTGTCACGATTTCTTAAAGGCAATCATTGTTATTTTAACAAGGATGAAGGAAGTAATCAGTTATTGCAATTGTGATAATGATGATGGATGGAAACTATTGATACTGATTGATGAATCATGCCCAATTCTAGCATTTTGAAATTTTCTACACCCAACTGCGGGTCGAGTCTATTCTGATGGGTTACTACTGAGAATGGTAACAAACAGTAATGAATAATGCCCAAATTCAAGCATTTTAAACCCAACTGCAGGTCGAGTCTATTCTGTTGGTTTTACCATGATGCTGCTGTCAATATTATTCTTATTGAAATGAAGATGAATAAATCGAGCTGAATCGGCTACGCAATGCATTCTGCAAGTTGCTGTAATTCATGGCCTTGCTGACAGGCTTTGTTCGGCACATGCAACAAGCGGAAAGCTGCAGCTATTCTGCGGTTTTTCTTGGCGTTGCACTGAATGAGGGCCAAGTGGTCAATAGCTGGTTGTTGAAGGAGGCCGGAAGCGTTTGGTTGGTGTTCAGGTATGTTAACTTGCATGATGAATTTCTTCCTTTGGGGGACTAGGGAACGCAAACTTTTCACGGGACAACATTTTCGGCTTCAAGTCCATGTCGCTGGTCTGCAAAGGAGAAATTGGCAGCACTGATTTGGGTGAAGAGCTTTGTTTGTCAGCAATTCCATGTGGAGCCCCCCTTTTCAAGGCTCGAAAGTTCTGATCAAAAAGGTGTGGGGCGTGCGACATTTTCATCCAAGCTTGTGAACTGTCCCTCAGTACGCACCTTCAGTTGAAGCCCCTCATTCTCTCTATCCGTCTGGTCTTATTTGACTTTACGCTGGTTAGGATTCAATGAAAAATTGCTGACGCCACTTAAAAACCACGACAACAACAGCTGGAATCTGCAACAATGGATTGCAGTCTTTCTCGCTGCACCACTTCATCTGCGCAACAACCCAACCAATCCCGCACGTCCAATCCGTTTTCTTAACTGAGCAACTTTGGCATCCGGCAAATGGTCAGCGAAACGCAGGATGTTCTCTCCATCTATTTATATATCTATCTAGATACGGATCTAGTGTATCTATATAATT